TTATAGATCTCACCTTTCTGATCAATAACTACCATGGGCACAACTTACAGCATATAAAATGTGTACATTTCTTGGACATTAAACTACCTGTATCTCAAAAACTAGTCATAGGATTATGCTGTGCCCATGGTAGCTATTGATCAGAAAGGTGAGATCTATAACATACTAAAATTTGAAGGGGGTGATTCGTCGGTTAGGACAAGAAAAGACCTGTTAAGTCTTTGCCAATGTTTCACCCAGAAGTTTAGGGTTTCATCAGGGGTAAAATATATATTAGGAACATCGAATAATACTAAAATTTGGCCGCGATCGGAAATTCCATAAGAAGTGTGCCCGGAATTTTACAAAAATCCATCCATAGGAAGCTTTTTAACAATAGTTGTTAGCCAATGAGTTTCCAGCTGATGCACCTTTAAGTTTTCTTTGCGAGTTTTAGGAAATTAAAATCACGAAACTGAAATTGCTGCAGCTACTGGAACAATTACAAAAGAGAATTTTGATGAGAAAAAACGAACAAATTTTAAACATATTTTTTATTTCTAGATTGTACGAGGAGGTTATTCTTATTCGTTGTTACTAACCACCATCTAGAACGGACATAATGAGGTATATAGTTTTGTACAGGGTGATTCAGCGTTTTATTTAAACTTTTCCACTTCTGCAATCAGAAATGATATTAGATAGATGTTCCACTAAAAATAACAAATCTGCTACTTTTTTTTAACAGAAGCGTTAACATATTTTAAATAGAGAGATCACCTTACATGAATCACCCTATGATAGGAAAATATAGTATACTAGGGCAATTATTATAGATAATATAAACCCCAGGTTTTTCACTAGAATTTTCGTATCGTAATTTAATTTCTTTTTCCCATCCCATAAAGCCATTGGAAAGGAACTTTTCTCTATATCCAATTAAATAATAATAAGTTTTATAATAGTACCTATACTATAATAAGTGTGGTAATTTCGGTATTACCGAACTCGAGAAAAACTTGCAAACCGATCCGTGAGGCGAGGTTTGCAATTTGTAACCTCGGTAATAACCTAATTACCATACGTATTATATGCAACATTTTATCTACAACCGTGCGGTAATAATATGACGGCACGCAAAATCGTCTGGTATAGGTACCTTAGTTACAGCACAGTCGTAGATAAAGTAATTTTAATTGCATTGAAAAGATATTCTTCCTTCGAAAAGCAGGTACAACTTTTCCGCAAGACCAGAGAGGAAGTGTGACGAAGATGCATAATAGTTATTTATGTACCAAGAGCGCAACTAGGGTGTTTGCGGCCCGCCGGCCGCGTGGAAATTAAAGCACGAGGCGTGGCCGAGGACTTCAACCACGTTCACCATTTGCGCCTGTGGTGCATACAAAATTTTATATACGACCGCTAGTAATTATGGTTTGATTCAAATATTATTCATAAATTACCAGTATAATCTGCAGTAACCAATCCTTAGAGCAGGTAAAGCGCTGTCCTACGGATATAAGGAGTAGGAACGCGCCATTCTGCTTATGAAACTATACCTTTACAACTTCAAATTGAGACTTATCACAATCAAATTGAGATTAACACAATCAAATTGATCCTTAAAACAATCAAATTGAGAACAATCAATTTCAAATTGGTACAACATCCGTTTCCATGTAATTGAACGTTGTACCAATTTGAAATTGATTTTTCTCAATTTGATTTTGTTTAATAACAATTTGAAAATGTTTGTTCTCAATTTGATTGTGATAAGTCTCAATTTGAAGTTGTAAAGGTATAGAGTGAAGCCAAGTTTTTGGCAGGTGTTTAGCACCAAAATACAGGTAAAGCATTGAAATGCCTATACTGCCATTTTTTTGGTGCCAAAATACCTGGAAAAAAACGGCTTCATTTTTCAACTCCATGTTACTACTCCTTTGCCTTTACCTGCTCTGAGATCCAACCAAACAGACATTCAATTTGATCATTTCTTTGTTTTGTTTTAAAGGATAAAAATAACCAATTTGTGCCAGTATTTTTTCAATTTTTGACACCTACGTCAACTACAGCATGGTGGCACTTTGCGGCCTGGTCGTAGATAATTGGTGTTGAGCCAGAGGGCATGTGCGGTTTCATTCCTGGGGAGTAAATGTAACCCACAAAAGATTTGTCATGAAGGTAGGATCAATGTTGGGTATGATACTTTGTAAAATTTGGTAGTTTAGTTTCGTTATGGCGTCACAAAGATGGCCGCCGGGCGAAAATCGGAATTAAACATTTCAAGTCTGGTTTTATTTGTAAGGAGTGGAAGTATCATGCAAATTTTGATTCAGCATTAGGATTTATGTTTTGGATGATACTTCGGTAGTTTAGTTACCTACGTTACGACGTCGCAAAGATGTAGTTAACTATTTCAAAGTCTGGTTTCATGTGTAAGGAGTAAAAGTATCATACAAATTCTAATTCAGCATAAAGCTAGGATTAATGTTCCGGATTGTGATATATGTGCATAACGTCTCTAATAACTCTAGATAGTCGTGTATGCGCTAGCTCACTATTAGTGTATTGTTAGATTAACAATGGGTTTTTTGTGACCAAAGTACCATTACGCTTTATGCTCTGATCAAAATTCTTCGGATTATCAAGACATGACTAGATAAACCTTTCTTTTTGTTCACAACTCAATTCTCGCGACTTTAAGAGAAATTTTTGCACTCGAGCTGAAGCTGCTTTGCCCGATGGAATGTTGAGCAATTTTTTATCATCGACATTGGCGCTGAATGGATTTACAGTGTCATTTATGGTTTGAATAATATTATGCTTTCGATCTGTTGCAATTCGATTAGCTTTTAAGGCATGAGAAACGTCATCTTTACGAGAAAGAGAAATATCCTCGAAAACTTTTGAAATTATTTTCGTTCTAGTGTTATGACTCAAAGACCACTTCTGGCGAGCGGAAAACGAATTTGTGAAGTGAGATACGCCCGTCAATTTGTTCGCAGCGTCGTTGTTAATTGTTTGTCCGAGTATCAAGTCGACAGGAGCACGTGCCAATTTTTGCGATGTACGTTTAACACCGAATGTTCCTTTAGCGAAGTCACCAACTGAAGGTGAATTTTGTACTTTCAATGCAACGAGATTGCTCAAATAGGCTACCAACCAACGGGCGTAATTTGGCTGATTCATAACGAAAAACATATCCGCCAATTCGGAAATAGCAACTATGTACAGTTCAAAGTTGCCACATCTAATGCTCCGCGAAAATCGGTTATAAATAGATATTACAAAAAGAAAACTTCAGTCTTCTCCACTAAATTTTATTGTTTCTTTGTTGGAACAACTAGGACATGTTTCGGTGTACAGTGTGTGTTATTTGGTTGATATTTTGTTGATGCTGCTGTTTCTGTTTTCGTTTTTGTTTTTGAATTTTGTGTTTTCGAATTATGCGTTTTTGGGATTTTTTCCGGAGGAAATAAAAAACGTGCTGTTTTTTTTTACAAAATTTTTTTTGTTATATTATTTAAGGGAAAAAATCCTTGGTTACGGTCACCCCGGTTTTACAATCGACGGGTGTCCGATGCACAGTCGCTTAGGAACTACGGGCGCCTGATGTAATCGTAAACATACCGCCCCCATTGGAATGTCTCTACATTTCAAAACTAGAGAAAAAAAACTAATTCCTAACTTAAGAAGTAACATTTTAGCAACAACATAAAAAAAATCTTGAACTTAAAGGGATATGAAATATTAAGGCTAATGCAATGGTGCAAACAAAATTATCACAATTACCTAGCGCATGACAATAAACCTCTAAGAACTTTGATCACAAATAAAGGTTAAGTTCAAGTTAAAGCTTGCTAACTTATTTATGCCATAATACACACACACTATTCGTCATTCGTCACAATTTGAATGTTAAGGCTAATGTTCCTCCATGGGCAATGGACAGAGCTTGGTAATGGCCCGCTTGAACAAACCATTTTGTGCTCGTATGGTTACAACCCGCACCAGGTTATCTTCGCCGGGATGGATTTCTACGACCCTGCCCAAGGGCCAATGCATAGGTGGTTCGTTGTCGGTTTTCAGAAGGACCATTGTACCCACTTTGACGTTTTGCTGTGGGGTACACCATTTCGAGCGTTGCTGCAAGGAGTGCAAGTAATCCGCGCTCCATACACACCAAAATTGCTGCACCATTTGCTGCAGCTGCTTGAAATACTTCAATCGATTGATGCTCACATCAATCACCTCATCTTGTGGACAGCTTAATAAGCTTCTCCCAATGAGAAAATGACCAGCTGTTAGAACTTGCAAGTCTGTAGGGTCGTCGGTTAAAGGGGTAAGAGGTCGCGAGTTCAGGATTGCCTCTACCTGCGTAAGTACGGTGTAAAAACTTTCATAATGAAGCGTAGCACCACCCATAACACGCTTTAAATGGTACTTAAAAGACTTCACAGCAGCCTCCCATAGACCGCCACAGTGGGGAGAGCGAGGAGGAATAAAGTGCCATTGAACTTTATTTTCGCTAAAATATTTTTTATATTTTGAGGAGCAATCTCGAACTGTAGAGCATAAACGGTTAAGCTCGTTACTCGAACCTTGGAAATTAGTAGCGTTATCGCTATAAATGTGACTGCATAACCCGCGCCTAGAGACAAATCTCTTAAATGCATTCAAAAAAGCCTCACCAGTCAAATCGGTCACAAGCTCAACGTGAACAGCGCGAGTGACAAAACATATCGTGGCCGTTCTGGAAAAAAACGTTAAGTCCAATTTATCAGTTTTGAGAAAAAGGGCTTTTTAAATTAAAAATATAAGCAAAATTTCATTTTTAAGTATAGAGTAATACTAAATGGAGATATGAGTTAGTTGATCAATAGCTTTATACGAATTAAAAAAAAAAGTTGAAAAAAGTTGAATATCTGTCTGAAATTGACGTTTGATGGACTTAGTGAAGTTTGAATGATTAAAAATGTTGTAATATTGATGAAGATGAAAGGTCTACTTCTACTTAATAATTATGTTAAAACGACTTCTACTGGTAAATTGAATGAAACTTTATTCAAAATAACTGACAAGTCAACTGAAAAATCAAGTCAAATATAAAACATAAAAAAATATGGTTAGTCTTCCTCACTCTCACTTTCACTTTCAACACTTGGCTCTGGATTTTTGTTTATGACAGCTTTTGATGTCGGCAGTGATAAATACCAATGATGAAATTCTATTGGAATAACCCCTGAATTGCACAGCTTTTTGAGATCTTGGTATTTCTGCACCGAAATTGGAAGCATTGATGAATATGCATTACGTACATTGGGTAATGACGTGGTCGCTGTAGCTGAAGGTCTGCCCCGGCCGCCGATGTTTAGGCTAAGGTAATCGCCTTTATGGCTATACCTGTATTTTATTATTCGTGGACAATCTTTCTCTATTCGAAAACACTTTATTTGTAGCCATTTTACTTTCTCACCTTGCGTGTTGACAGTTTTGTTTTTTAAGAGTGTGAGTGAAATAGCTTTTAAATCAATGAAATCGCTGTATTTTAGTTCTGTAACAATGTACGGGTCATTTTTTTTCTTACCTCGTTTCGATCGGGCCATTTTGAAAATGTTTATCCAATCATTAAGGGTATACACAGCTAAGTATCTTTTTTGTTTCTCTATAGCACTATGCATACTATCACATTCCATCATAGAATGCCCCGATTCAAGAAATTTCTGTTCGATTGTAGCAATTTGGTTACCGCCGTAATGCACAAAATAATATAGCATTGCTAGGACGTTTTGGTTCCTATTTTGCCCACCACATGTATCTGAGAAAAAAGAAACGTCTGTTACGTGATTTGGTAAGTTTCTGAGGTACTGAAAAAGACAAGTTGCTATTTCCAAACTTCCTCTAGCTCCATTAACTTCCGTCCACGTAAAACAAAAAGCATTATTGGGTGGGGCCCCTTCATAAATGGTCAGATTGTAAGCACATATTTTTCGGCTGTAGTACATGGGCGAAACATCGCTACTGGGGATCTGAAGCACACTTTGTAAGTCAAATGTTGCGGTAACAAAATTAGCCTCCTTGATTGCCCTTTCTTTATCAAATTTTTTGGATTCATTTGCGTCGAGCTCACGTTGTTTGTGTTCATTAAATGAAATTTCCAATGCAGCTTTTTGATCAGCATTTGCATCTTGGTACTTCATACAAACTGCACACTGGTCTTTGCGTGGTTTAAAAAATGAAAAATTATATTCTTGGCAAAAAGTTCGCTTGTATGTTGTTATACTTTTTGGAATGTAACCCTCTTTTTCACATAATTCTTTGTATAAAGAGTACATTTTAGCAATAGACAATGTCGCGTCCAAATATTTTCTCTCTGAAGATTTTCTACAATAATGTGACTCTGTTAGAGGAAAACTTTCGATATGATTTTTAATAATTTGCTTATCTTCAGGGGTGGTTTTATTAGAGGGAATATGCAGGCCTCGCTTATCATCTCCATTGTACAACCCTGTTGTGTCATTTTTCTTTTGAAAGGCTTTGTTTAAAGGTCCGTTACTTATGGAAAGTGTTTTCAAAAAAAACTTTTGACATACTCTTGTGGCTATACCATTTTTTAAAAAATGAAATTCTTTGGCATTGGTGCGGGATTTGGCATTATCGTTACGATGTCGTTGTCTTTGTGGTACATTAGCTTTAACATTTTGCAGAATAAAGTCTTTTTTTCTTGAATAAACTTCTAACTGCCAGTAACTGGAGCACAATTGAACCCTTTCCTCTTCCGAAAAATTGTCAGAACATTTAAACCTGCACTGAGTACATTCAACATTCTGAGGAGCTTTCGCTGGTTGTGGGCCTTTTTTAGTCGTATAATATGGCTGGCCAAGGTTTCTGCGCTTTTTCAAAATATTTCTTTTCCAGTTTGTTTATTCCATCGATTTCTTTTTTTCGGATTCTCTGTCACTGGTTCTAGAATTTGTTCAATTAAGTAATATTTTATTCAGGCATTCGATTTCTAAAAATTTATTACTACCTGTAAGTTCATCTTCGGATAGCTCTTCAGCATCATTATCAGTATCCAGGTCGTCCTTCGGATTGTAGTCTTTATCTCTGCTATCACTCCCTTCATATGGATCTACAGCATCTTCCTCACTTTTGTCGGACATCTAAAAATATGTCATTAATAAATAAATAATAAGGAATATCGAAATTCCATTTTTTTTTTTTTTGACGCTAAACTAAAACCGAATTAGGTGTGTGTACACTTGGACAACTGTATCCACTTACAGAATCTTCGATAGCATGCCATCGGGTATGCCTATCAGGCAAGTTTAGTTTACTTGTCGAGGGGATTGAATCACATGTTATTGCAGCAGGTGCAGGTGCTTCACTAGCCTTATTCAACTAGAACGAAATCCAGCATTAAAATATTAATTTCTGTTCCTGTTAAGAAAATGTAGCTTACATGAGATGTAGAGGCGATTGGTTTAATTGTTTCTTGGCCTTTTAAAGCAATATTTGAATGTACCACTATTTTAGGATAATTTCCGCGATTTTTTTCAAGATTTTCTTCAGATTTTGCATTTTTCACAAGTTCCAATATGCGCTTGCCTCTGCTACCTTGCATTTTAATAACTCTTAAAACTAATAACCAAATATTTCCAATTAAAACTAATTATTTACGGTAGGTATTTAGGACTTACCTGTCGAAATTTTACTCACAAAAACAAATAAACACAATACAAACTGTGATTCTAACCTAACATTTCTCAGCTCTTTGGTCACTAAGTCCAGTCGACCTGTTTTGTACACTGCCAAAAGTAACGAAGTCCACATAATGATTTTTGCTTGTCATAAATCGCGTCTATTGAGACTTAGGTATTTTTTTACATATCGGCAACCAGTAATACATTTAGCCAGGGACTTAGTGAGTTTTGCTAGCGTAAAAAACCACATTTTCTAAAACATTTGGAAGTATTAACAAAAAAATTCTAAAAATGGACTTAGTGACTTATGCCAGAACGACGACGATATGAAGATACTCAGGTAACATTTTAGCACAACACGGCTACGTGTTTTGCCATCTTTTAACGCGTACGGCCCTGCGAAATCTACACCGCACACACTGAAGGGACTTGAGGGAGTGACTCTGGCGGAAGGTAGTGATCCCATAAGTTGATTAATATTTTTAGGTTGGATGCGAAAACAAGTTATACATTCATTTGCGCAGGATATTCCGAACTTCATTTCTGCCATTAATAATCCAAAATTTGTGTCTGATTTGAGTAATGGTGAACTGAGTCCCACCATGCAAGAACTTTAGATGGTAAGATCTGATCAATAGTTGGGTAAATGGATGCTTAGGAGGCAGGATGATAGGGTATTTTTGATCGAAATCGAGGTTAGAATACTTTAATCGCCCATTTATTCTTAGCAACCCATTTGAGTCTATGATGGGATTAAGGCGAAAAAGTTTGCTGGTTTTAGGAACAGTATTACCAGCGCGCAAAAGCTGTAAGTCCCTAAGAAATATGTCCCTTTGGACAATAGCGCACAATCGCAGCTCAGCCGTTTGCCATTCGTCAATAGTCAAGTCTTTTGAACATTCCAAATCAGCATTTGATCTTTTTGCTTTGAGATTCTTATAAAACCTGAGCAGATAAGCCGTTGTTCTGATTAACTTACTGTAGCTAGAATAAAGATCGAAAATAAAAGCTTGATTTTGCTGAATTTCATTATATGTTAGTGAAATGTTTTCCTTTCGAGCCTCTGGGATAGAGTCTATACCGGTGATAATAGTTTTAGGCCAGTTTCCAGAGGATTGACAAAGATACGAAGGGCCATGCCACCAAAGTGTGGAATTTTGTAATAATTGAGGGTTAGAACCGCGACTCAAAATGTCGGCGGGGTTCTGATCAGTTGGTACATGTCTCCATTGAGTGCTTTCAGTTAAATGCTGAATTTCAGCTACACGATTGCTAACAAAAACTTTCCAATTACTCGGTTCTTTATCTAACCAGGCCAGAACAATAGAAGAGTCTGTCCAATAGGTTGTTTGCTCGATTGAAATCCTTAGACTGGATTTGACTCGATGCATGAGTTGAGCTAATAGATATGCGCCAGACAGCTCTAACTTGGGTATAGTTAAGTTGGAATTTAGAGGTGCAAGCCGACTCTTAGCACAAATAAGATTGGAACAAATTTGACCTTTACCATCTAGATGAGTCAGATAGATTGAGGCGCCATAGGTCGTTTGAGAGCTATCACAAAATCCGTGTAACTGAATATTCTTTGACATAGAAGAAAATAAGACACATCGGGGAATTCTAATAGAATTTATCGATGCTATTTGTTCAACGAAGTCCAACCAGCAGGCTGAAATATGCTCAGGCAAATCATCGTCCCAATCCACTTTGATTTGCCAGATTGCTTGTAGGATTAATTTCGCTCTCACAATAATAGGGTTTATCAATCCGAGAGGATCAAATAGCTGTGCCACGCCCGCTAACACGGTTCTCTTAGTGACCCTGGCCTGTCCAAAACAAGTAGGAAAAGCGTAACTAAGAATATCATCCTCCGGATTCCAAAATATACCTAAGGTCTTGATCTCCTTTTCACTTTTGATTTGAAATGGCGTTTCGCTACCTATATCGGCCAAAACCTTAACGTCATTGGACATCCACTTTCGCAGATTTAATCCCGATTTTTGCAAAACATGAGATATTTCATTTTTCAATTGCTGAGCCAATTGATGATTGTCACAACCAGTGATTAAATCGTCCATGTAGAAGTCATTGATGATGATATCAGAAATATAGGAATTTTCAGATCGACATCCTAACCCAATCTCGTTCAAAACCCTGGTCGCCAAGAATGAGCTGGGAGTAAGACCATAAACAACGGTATTCAATTCGAAATGCTTTATGCTTTGTGAGGGATGTTCCCGCCATAAAATACGTTGAAAAGATCGATCATCTTTATGTACCAAGATCATACGGTACATCTTCTCAACATCTGCTGTCAAAACGACAGGATAAGTTCGCATGCGCAGCACTATATCGAATAAATCATTTTGAACCTTGGGACCGGTTTTTAAAACTTGGTTTAAAGTAAGTCCTGAGCTGCTTGAACTACTGCCATTAAATACCACTCTGAGCTTAGTAGTTTCACTAGATTCTTTGAATATTGGATGATGAGGAAGATAATTACAAATTTTATTAGGAAGGTCTTTCTGAGGATCAATTTGAGACATATGTCCCAGATCTTCATACTCTTTTAAGAAGTCACAATATTGTTTTCGAAGCTGAGGATTTTTTGAAAGTCGTTTTTCTGTTGAAAGAAGACAATTTCGTGCAATTTGGTAGGTATCACCTAAATTTTGAAAATTATCTTTAAACGGTAATCTTACTATGTATCGTCCGGCATGATCTCGTGTGACATTTTTTCTAAAATAAATTTCACACTCAAGCTCCTCAGCGGTTAACTTACTTTGATCAGATTGTACATTCTCTATGGCCCAAAATTTCTGAACAGAATCATGCAAGCTATTAATGGAAAGATGACATAAAGAACTTACCTGAGTAGAAGAGATTTGATTTGAATGTGCTGAATGCAAAGGACCAGCTAAAAACCATCCTAGCTTTGAGTTTTGAATGACAGGTTGATTGGCCCCTAACTTAATTTGTTGAGGTTCCAGCAAATCATAAAATAAATTGGTACCTATTAAAATGTCGATATTTTGGCATTCAAAAAAATGAGGATCAGCTAATTGTATATTTGGCGGAATTTTTAAAGAATTGGGATTAAATGAAAGCTGAGGCAATTTTGCAGTGATTTTATCCAGGACCAAGAAATGTATGCTGGTCTTGTATGAATGATTCATTGAACGCAGTTTTGTAGTAAACGACTTATCAATTCTGATTGGTGCCTGGTTAATGCCATTAACACTCATATCTATGTGTTTCCCTTTGATTTTCAATTTATTATAGAATTCTGTGGTACAAAGATTGTTCATACTACCCGAATCTAACATGGCTCTGCATTTCACCAAGTTTCTATCTTGATCCAGGATCTCCACAACTGCTGTTGCCAAAAGTGGCTGGCATAGAGCCTGATTGCCATGTATTTCGCAAAATGCATTTTGACTGTTTTGGGGTATGATGTCACCCACCTGTTCGGATTCTTCTTCTATGTTATTGTATTGTGTTTCTTCAGTTTCTTGTTGTGTAGCAATATATGTGTTTCTAGATTTAGGTGAATTTTGAGGGTTGTAATTTATGTTTTCATGCAAAATACTATTGTGTTTTTTTGAACACATTCTACAGCCCCTACTGGGACAAGAATCAAGGGAATGACCTGCTGCACGAAGGCAGTTTACACAGATACCAAGTTTCTCAAGCTCAATGTAGCGATTTTGTATTGACAATGCTAGTAAGCGAAAGCATTTGTATGTTGAATGGTTATTCAACCTACAAAAGCTGCATGAGAACTCAATATCCTCCTGCCCTGCTGGTTCCTCCATGGCAACATGGCTATACCTTTTTGGAGATAACTGCTCGGGTTTTCTTGTGGAAAAACCTTTTGATTTTGAAGGAGATTCTGTGCGTTTAGAATTTAATTTAGTTTGAATTGTCTCTAGAACCTGTATTTTGTTTTTCAGGAAATCTACAAAACTTAAATAAGTGGCGTTGTCCTGTTTGTTGAATACTTCCCATTCTCGACGGGTTGTATTGTCCAACTTGCTTGTGAGAAGATATAACAAAATTGTGTCCCAGTGCTGAACCGGCTCATTTAAATTTTGCAAAGCCCTGTAATTTTGTACTATGTGATCAAGAAATTTTCTTAGAAAAATGCACGACTCGCCTTGTAAGGCAGGATAGTCGAAAAGATTCTGTAAATGTTTGTGTTTAAGCAATTTTTGATTCTCATACCGCTCTTTAAGTAAATCTATAGCGATATCATAATTATCCTCAGTGATATTTAGAGACTGCAGAATTTCTGCAGCTTCCCCTTTGATGCACAACTTTAACTGATAAAATTTCTGGATTTTTGGGACTGAGGGGTCATCATGAACGATTAATTTAAAAATTTGGAAAAAGGTTTCCCATTGTTCGTGATTACCAAAAAATGATGGTGGGGTAATTTTGAAAACATTAAGATTGGGTGGCTGTTGTATGATTGGTTGTATAATTGGAGGTGGAATTGCTGGTGGAGCTGCTTGAAGACTTTGCAGGGTTTTCCTCTTTTCAAACTCATGATTTTCAATAATATCAAGTGCTTTACCACTAAGTGAATGATACATCTCTTCATATGTGTCCCCCTCGTCATGCTGCTCTGGGTTCAAACTGACTAGTTGAGCTTGAGTTGACTCAAACTGGCTAAATGCTGATTTTAATTTCTCTAGCCGTAATTTTAGTTCGGAAAGTGACAGATTTTCCCTTGTGGTTTTACTTAAATATGAACGGAATTTATTTAATGTGGATTTGAAACCACCCCGCTTCTCCACCAACTGCAGAATAAGGGTTTCCCCTTCTGTGTTGTCTTCGTCAGCAAACATTTTTGCGTGTTATGTGCTTTTTATGAAAATTTTGCCCAATTTGTGAAGTTTATACATCGACCCACTCAAAT